TCATGCATGCATGAACATATCTGGAAATACTTACACCACAAAAAAATGCTCTTCAAATGCTTAAAAATATGTGGGATTATTAAAAGTTAAAAAATTTATAAGTTAAGATGTAAAAAACATAATATTTCAAAGTTCACACTCTTTCTACTTCCAAGAACCAAAATCATAATCTACCAGAGCTGGAGAAACAATACAGTTTTCTGGGAATTTTCAGATTTCTTAAGAATCCTATGACCACAAATCTATTATAACCAGCATCACATTTGTCAGAAACTCCAATAAAGAAGTTAATAACTTCCAGAAACAAAAAGAGCAATATATGTTACATACACAAATATATGGAAAAATTCTCATGTTTTTACTTAAAAGTACCCCGAGACAGATTCACTTTTCCTAACTAACAACTTATCCTATTATGAATCTTCTGAATTTTTTACATAAGAACCTAAGAATAATTTTACTTACTGTCTTGAGGAGATACAACAGCAAACTCTCTCTGACATACATAAAGCAACTGTTTCTCTTCAACAATCTTTGGTTTCTGTGAGACTAGTTGCTTGGAAGAACTCTAAAGAAGTAAACATTAGGTGCTACATATTTTTTCATGTGGTGCTTTTCTGTGTTAAAATTACTATGCACATTTACCTGAATATATATGTTTAGTATAAGTTGATCAATTCAATCAAAAAAGCTGACAAACATACTTTCCTGCAAAACTGTTAATGGCAATAAACTTGTACATTTTATGAGAAGTTTATGAAAAGTAACTATAGAAAGTCTACTGGGAAACCAGATGATAACGATATTTTATATTTATTGATTAGTTGTTGAGCTCTAAAATGATAAAATGTTACTAACTGGTGATAAAATTTGCAATGCTTTAAAAAAGTTTTAAAAATTCAAAATATAAATAAGCTTTACTATAAAAGATAATCAAATAGAACAGCAAAATGTACATATTTTTCTCAATACAATTAACTGATATGATTATGCATATAACAACATATTTTTGCCTCTTTTCATTCAAGGCACTACCATTATAAATTATGCTTTTATAATGAAAGATTAGCGTGAATTAACAGATACTACATCATAAAAAATATATAAATAAACATCAGTAATATTAGAGTAATACTATTTGTAATAAAACTAAAATTAAGAAAAGAAAAGCAACAAAGTGAAAATTTACATTGAAGATTATTAATTAGTTTTTGCCCACTAAAAAAATTGTTTGTAAACAATAATTAATACTTTTGATAGAAATTATGTTACTTCCAAAGAAAACTGGTAAACTAACCAGAAATTTTCAATTAGTAATTAAATACATAAACAATTTGGTAACAGTTCAAATGTTGTTAAACACTGCATGAAATTTCTGATAACTGAAACATTACTATGTGATCCCTATTTGTTTGTGCAGTGTTGCTCCCTTCACTAACAGTAAAAGGATATCAGCATATTATAAAAGGTGAAAAGATAGAATACTTATATTACACTAGTTTAAGTCATTTAACCTATACTATGAACAGATTGAGGCTTGGAATTTTGAACCTCTTTCTTGAGGAGCACAGAACAATTAGAGGAGTTTGTCTAAGTATCAGAATGAGAAAGCTGGAAATACATATTTAACAAACAGAAATGATAAATTTCATCTTTGAAAACTAAATGAAGAAAAAATAATATGTTCCCAGTTAGAGTGGAATGGCTTGCCTAATTATGTGACACATGTGCGGATAGGTTTAACCCATTGACTACTGATTTGCCATATAGGGTACAATCTGCCTGTGGCAGCTGAACGTGAGTGTGCCATCTACGGTGTATGGCTTGCAAAAATTCTGCATGCATTTAGAGCAGCCGCAGTCAATGGATTATTTATTTTTTACACTTTTGTGGATACACATGTGGATGTAAAAGAGAGCTATATTTAAGTAAGATTACAATATATATTTTTTTCTTTTATAGCTTAGGAATGATCTCTATGTGTCAAATGATCTTCTATAATGTTTTCTTTTCTTATGTTCTTATTACCATTATGTAATAGAAATATTACAAAACTACAAGTTAATATATATCGTACTGACCTTAAAACATGGGTATCTTTTGAAGATTTCTCTGCAAGATAATGGCCACTGCAATACTTCATCATTCACTAAGACAGGCATGCTATAAAATAGCCATCAGTAAAAACTTAAGAACTTTTTTTTACACCGTTAAAATAGAAACCTTTTATTTCTCACTGCCCTCTAAAGCTTAATAAGGGTCTAAACATTTATATTTCATATTTTATTAGACATTGCAATATTTTTCTGATGATTGAAAACTACTATGTGATCCCCTATTCTTTATTTAGAAAAAGACTTAACAAATAACAAACTTTAGTTTGGTTTCTGTTTTTACGAAGGATTTGTAATTCATTATTCATGGATCATTTACTTTATAAGGCAATTAGAAAGTTGGCATTTAATAAACAAAACTCAGAATAAACTTACAAAAGGGGTTTTCCTACATCAACAACTTATTATTTTCTTTTTTATAAGGGCTTCTCTACTGACTTTATCAGTTTATGTATTACAATCTTTCAGTTCTTTTAGCCCCACAGAAGATTTATGAGTAAAAAAAGATTTTGAGAAACATTAACAGAAGAATCATCTTAAGTGTCAAACAACAGTGTGATAAAATTGGAAATTTTTCTTATTAGGAGAATGCAACTATATGGAGTAGGGATTGTCGAAAGTTTGTCTTAGGACCTTTGATGTTCATTAGTCAATTTAAATCAATGATTAATTTGTAACTCATTTATGTTTTCAGAAGGATCAAACTATATTCATGATTGGAAAAGAACATAAAATATAAATTTCATTACTGATAAAATTGTAATGATACATTTGGGCACAGATATTTTGAAACGATTACTGTTATGTGTCTGATGACATGATAATATAAATATTTGCAATTTTCAACTCAATGTCTCTTGTGAAAGAGGCCAACAAGTTCTGGTATTCATACATTTATTTTTTATGATAAAAACAGATAAAAAGTTTTGGCCTTATATAGGGTTTTAGTGAAGCATTATTTAATGTGCTCCATGACATTTACCCTTTTTAGTTGAAAAACACCATGTCGGTAAGGGTGAAGAAACATGCTACTATAATGAACTACAGCTTAAAATTTTGATCTGCAAAAGGTAGGTCAAATGCTCATTCATTTTTCTTCAATATACAGAAAAACTAGAAGTAACTTGATTTAGAGCTTAAAATTTTCTGGGGGGGTTAAAAATTTTCCCTATGAAAGGCCTATTTGGGCAGTAGATTTGTGAGGTGGGATTTTGAAAATTATAAATCCCAGATCCAACTTATTCTTCAGCAGAATTACTCCTAATTATATTATTTGTTCAGATTTATATTTTTATTGAATAGGGTTGGATATGTAATACATTTCATTTGGGGTGGTTGCTTTGGGTAGAAGGGTAACTTTGAATTTGATGAGCCAGATAAGATTCACACATTCCATGTTTCATATAAATCCATCCATTGAAAAATAAAAAGCACTAATTACTTACTAAGTGAATTCTTAATGCAGTTATAGCAATGGTTAAGCCTAGAATATTTAATTTCAAAACTGTTTTAAAATTTAAGCTGCCAACATTAAAATACAGTATACAGTATCAGAAGTAGTTCATGAACATATGAAAATCTTAAAAGACGTATTTTGTTGAAAATCTTTG